TTTGGACAGATATGCCCAACCGTTGCATGACGCCGAATCTCATCTGCACCATGTACTGCGTGATCCAGCTCTTACTACCGGACAAAAGCTTGTAACGTACGATGACGCTCTGGACCGCTATCAGGGGCTTGTCAGCCAAGCCCAAGGCCCTGTACTGCAGATCACACCTAGCACAAAATCTACAGACGAAGTAGATTCAACGAACCCTTCAAAGATGGTAGACTATATGCCGAAAACTCAGAAAAAAGCAGCCGAGGCGCTATTAAGGTTTTTATCAGACCATACAAACATACGGATTTCTGGACGTCACGAGCCTGTTATAAACGGAAATGTCATAGCAGGTGCCAACGTGGTGGATTTAATTAAATGGGTTACCGCTACCAACAATCCGGGACAAGGACCAAGGCCTCAAGGACTAGATGTGTTTTTGAATGAGCTACGGAAAGTGCATGTACCAAGTAGTTTTTTTCCTAATACTAAACGACGTGAAGTGTTTTTAGACTTTGTACCTAGTTCATCTACTACTGTAACACCGACCAAAAGTTGGGCAACGTGAATTTATTAAACATTGAGAACTTTATACATTGGCTGTGCGCACTGGTTACATTTTAAACAACACTTCAAACATTGATATGGATTAGAACACACACGAAGATATTTACGAGCAAACTCACGTAACAGCATGTCATTTTTACCCAGGCACTTTGGGTAGTTGAATTTGTGAACAATTGCTTTTAATGGTAAACCCCGAAAAGCAAAGTACAGGAAGAAAATACAAAACATGCCACACAGAGCAGAGTTATAGTCTTGTATTTGAATTCTGTTCTCTTCATATATACCCATTGTCCACGGTAACATTTCGCACAAAAAGCGATCAATTTCGATGCCATAGAAAAGTGCAGACTTTCCAAATGAATCAAAAAAACACGCTCTGCCTTTGCTGCTTACGAACACTGCCACCCAATGACTTCCCGGCTGATCATGTTTGTCTGTGTTAATGATAAGTCCGAGAGGGAGCTTGGGGTTCTTGAGTACTGGCAGGCGGTCCCTCGGGTACACACCTAAGAATCTGACATTGGGGTTGCACTGAGCTTCGTGCTTCATAATGTCCAGGATCTGTACTGTCTTCATTTCTATAGGCGTTTGTATGGGCAAAAGATATTCCTTCGTGAATCAATTTCGATCAGGCCATTACGATTATAGTATATCAAAACGGAGTACGTCGCAGCCGTTGCGACCGTAAATGTTAATGAGAGACCAAGGACTCCTTTCTTTGTTGGGTTAACGCACGATCCGTCACCGACATCCGGCTCCAGATTAAAACCGAAAATTGCGTAACCTAGCGGCCAGTCAGCAGAATCAAATAACAAACTTGAATTCTTAAACAGCATCCCGCTGGTTTCTAGAAGGCTGAGGTATCCATCTCTGTAGTTTCCGGCGGTTGGTGTTAGCTGCAATGGCTTACTGGGAATAGGTTCTGAGTTGACATAGGTCACGATTTGACTAATGGTTAAGTGGGAAAATTGTACGGGTTCTTGGTAAAATTTCCAGCAATGGCTCTAGAGTCCACGAACGCCACAAGCATCTTTTTGGGGATAACACCACGGAAAAGATCGTCCCGTGACCAGAGAGTGCTCCCTTGTGGTATTGTGAGTTCCAAAAGGCCAGACTCAACAAATGGAATTACAGCATTTCGTTTTTGTAGGAGCATTTCATGCGCTAATAAAAATTCCGGGTCCAATTTGATCTTTTTGATTTTCAGTACGGCATTAACTATGTTGATTTTAAGATCAGCATTTTCATCGGTAGCCATAAGAGCAAACTGATCTCTAGACCGCGTAAGCGAAAGTTTTATATCAATTTTAGGAGGTATAAGAAGCGGCTGATTAGCAAGATCGCTAGGAAACTTGCAAACCATGTGCCAGATAGTTCCATCCTGGACATGTTTTCTTCGTGCCAAATAGCCTTTATTAAGTACGTCGTTATTAGGATTCGGGTTAGGTAGAGTTAGCAGTGTCGTATCATGAGCGCTGGCGGTATCGAGAATAAAGCCATATTGGCGCATCTGATCTTTCGCTTCGCTTCCGTAATTTAGTAAATGTTCAAAAAATGCACCATAGTGAGACAGCGTAGGTATAGTAGAAACTGGTTCATTGTTGAATAATAGTTCGTGGCCGGAAAACAGGCTCCTCGAGAACAGGTTGACTGGGCCGAACGCTATAGCAGCGGCTGGATTTGTTCCGTCAGCCTTCTTGACAGTAACATCGAGTAAGAGTTCGCTATGAGCTAGGTCGACGGCCTCATCGGGAGTGCTGTTAATCTCCCAATTAATTGCGTCACTGGTCAAGTTGTTTCCGATGGCGGTATAAGAGATGTATTTAACCGACTGGATAGCTGTTTGGGTTGGCGGTAAGGACCAATGGTCCAACTCCGACTTTAGGCATAAAGGCGAGAACGGGTGAATTCCTTCCATAATGCTGTTCAGGATTTTCTTCTGAAGAATTTAGGTATACCACAAAATCCGCGTTTGCGAGATGCTTTACGCCGACGCGACTTGGTCTTTCGCCTCCGACGAATCTTCGGTTTCAAAATAACTTGCAGCTTCCGAGTGTGTCGCTTACGTCTACGACCACGTTTGCGTCCGCTTCCACGTTGCATTCTTGTTGCAATGTCACTCACGGCTTCTACTGTTCTGTTCTGGGCTGAATCCAACAGTGTTTGCTTATTCGAAAGAATATCCGAAACAACTGATCTTCCCAGCTTCACCAAGCTTGGAAAAATTATATGTCTCGCCGTTCGCGCCAAACTTCCAAAAAAATTTCCGAAAGCACCGTACCCATGCTGGTTGTAACCGGTAGATGGCGCTGGGTATTCGGGAGCCAGTAACTGCAGGTATACCTGTGCAGGTATATGCGTTGGGGCAACTTCTTCATCCATGGAGAAAAGCTTTGGGTCTTTCTCGAAAATTTAGTTGTAATACTGACTGTCCAGGTTCAAAAGATATACAGTTGCCGTTGAGGTCGCGAATTATAAAGTCTAATCGGTCAAAATCACGTTTCGCAACATCTCTGAACGTTTGCAACGCTGAGTACGCTCCACCGTTAGTTAGAATCCGCGATGGGGCAATTCCAAGTAACGGAACATATTTGTCGTTTAAAAGTTGGCAGCGCACTAGATCCGTGTAGACGCAAATAGTCGGCACAAATTTTTTCGAGGTAATGTTAGGGCACTGAATATAGGCCAAAGCAACTTCCACGTCGCCGTTTAATTGAAAAAGTGTAGGCAGATACACGGTAAAATCAGACGCAGACCCTTTCGGGTTTGAGAATACAGTTAGCTGAAAATTCTCCATTTATCGTTTAAATAAGTTACTGCGGGGTATCCACTCATCAAACTTTTTATTCCATCCTACATAATGTACTTTCACTTTGTTCCCACGTTTCTCTAGGACTTCGATATCAGCAACGTCTTTTGCTTTGTCCGAAACTTTTTGAAGCTCCCAAGGATAAAAACGGCCATCTAACACTTCGTTCTTTAAGTCTTTCACACTATACATGATCGACTGGTTAACTTTAATCACTTCAGCTATTTGATACACTTCGGTGGACCAAGACTGTATAAATCCCTTTTCATGTGGACCCTTTTTAACACTAATTCGAACATAGTCATCAGCCTTGAAATACGGCCTAGGTAGACGTCGAAAAAGGTGCTCCATCTTCTGCGGTTTGTTAAATATTCGCTGAAATTCTTTTGTCCGGTTAGACGTGACGTCATTTGGCGTTGCAAACTTCAGGGAACGGTGAGGTGTTGAATTGTACGCTGTCATCAACGGCTGTATGACATCAATCCAACGGCGTGTATTTTTATGGGTGAAATATCTGAACAATTTTGTCGAAATCGTCCTGTTTAAACGTTCGGCTCGTCCGGCTTTAATCTCCGCGTTATGTGTTGAAAAGTGCTTAACTTTATTTGCTTTCAAAAATTCTTGCATTTCACTATTATAAAATTCTGTGCCTTTATCCGTTTGCAAAACTTTAGGCGTAAATCCGGCTTTGCTGAACACACGTTGCATTGCAGCTGTAACTTCCTTTCCGGTTTTATTCAAAAGTGGCTCAACCCATGCTTTCCTTGTAAAACAGTCAATAACGACGAGCATGTATTGATACTTATCGTTATAGGAAGAGAGCGACTGATAATCCAGTAAATCAGCTTGCAACTGCTCTTCTGGAGCCGAGACAACTACTGGCAGGCGGGGAAATAATTTTCGGACAGGTTTATGTAGCGTATAGCTGGGAACATCCCCAAGCCAGTCTTCAACATCTGACTTGTATATTTTGCATAGCGTGGATTTTTTGGCTTGGTTGTACAACTTCTGTTTTCCAGAATATCCTGCTGGATTGGAGATATCGAAATAAATCTCACCTAGGAGACTACTGATCTGGTCTTTGGTACATCGTGCTCTCGCCATTCTTCAATAACTTCCTGAATAATATTCAGTAGGTCCAGATCAATACCCTTGGGCACAACTCCTCGTAAAAACTGCTTCCTCATCAAAGGTCTCCAAACAGTTAAACATTTATAGTACAAAATACATGGACAAACGCGTTTTCCAAACAAAAAGCGTCGTTCCACTTCAGTAAATAACCGATACAAAACTTTTTTGTTGATCGTGTGCAGCAATGTGTAGAAGCTATTCTTCCTTCGCTGCGGACATGAAATCGACTCATGGCATGAATGTTTAGAGCCTAAATCTCTACATGCCTGACATGATATCCGTGAACTCTTGGCAAACTCATGTGACAGAAGAAATGCAAAAATATACTTGAACGCCGCGATACATTTTTTCAGCCTTTGAGGATTTACAGGAAAATTTATTTTCAAATTTATATCCGTGCACAACCCAGTTACAAGTTCACATTTGATTGTTCCATCATTATCGTCATGAAATGCCATTTTACCACTCAGGATCTTCAACAAAATTACCAGTATATTCAAAGTCCTCAGCTAAAACATTAGGAGTAAACCGTGTTAACAATTGGTTAACAGTTTCAAATTCAATAGAATTAACACATGGAAATGGAATATTCTTGTAGCCATGCGGATAAGTTTTAAAACCTTTTCCAATAACACGACTTGTTAATGTGCACGAGACACGACGAGTGAGGTTCACGTTCTGGATACTCAGATTCTCCATATTTCGTTTAAACGATAGTTCGTTGCAGGCAACGACGGTGGGCGGTCCTGAGCCGAATAAGATATCCTTCATAACGGCCATATTCACATTCTCCCTGAGACGATGAGTCTTCGGTATCCCCTTACATTTCATCCGCTGCTCCCCATCACTCAAGACTTGACAGTAGGACTTTTTTCCCAGTGCTGCCCATTCAACAAAATGTTTCCCGTTTAATTCATCCGAGAAATCCCCGATAATATTTCCAATCGGTGGTTCTGCCACTCCATGTCGGCTGATAAAGAAAATGGAATCGGTGTCGCAGTACAAGGTGTCCTCGTTTTTAATGCGCATGGCTTTCAACAGAACCAACTGCGCCAATTCGGTAGTAAATTTTCCAATGTACGGGTTACACCGCCGGTTTGGTGCTACCCAATGAGACTTTTCGGAGTATGTGACGTCAACACAGGTTCCTTCATTTACCAGGCGAATATCCTTGGTATCAAACTGAGAGTTGAATACAACGTCTCTCATTTCTTGATACGTCTTGCAGTACTTATTTTGCTGGAACAGCGGCCTCATTACGTACCTATAACCAGAAACAGCGTGCAGATATGTGAAAGTATAAATAGATGAATTTTCGTACCTGCCCCACGTTGAATTCGCTGCGATCTTTGCGCAGTACCGCAGTCCAGGGTTATCAACAACTTCCTCCGGGGCAAACACTATTCCGAGTGTTTTCTCGTACTGATTGCAATATTCAAGTTTCTCCTCATCGGTCAAAACACTTGACGGAAAGCCACTGTTAACAATCTTTTTCCGGATGAGCGATAGGATAAATTCAGCAAATATTCCACCTTCCTTTGTTAAAGGATTGTACTTGCTGGTCCGTCCAAAATGATGCACTTCAAAAATTTCAACAATTTTGTAGCCATCCAGAACTGCTTGATTTAACATGGGCGTCGTCCAGGCTCCCTCAAACATACGCTCCGAGTCATCATGACCACAAGGAAAGGCAATATTAATATCGATAGAGCACTGGCGGCAAAGGGTGTACACAATTCTTCCGTCAGGTAGACGTAGAGGCAATGTAGGAATGAACAAATTAGCAGGCGGGAGTACTACACAATGAACAACGCCAAAATACCGGGAAATGTCGTAATCGAAGTCGTGAAGTACAATTTCAGGATGGCCAATCGGGAACTCCCCAAAAACCATAACTGAAGGATACAGGGAAATAACGTCATACGTTTTTCCTTTATTTGGCAGCTGAATGGACTCATACAGCGAAAAAACTTCGGTCCTCCCTCCGACCAAACTGCCGCGGACGTCCAGCCGTGGGCGAAACTTCAAGGATTTTATCATTCCAGCTTTCTTTTCCTGGTCAAACTCGCACTCGTACTTGATCACCAGTGCCTGTACATTCGGGTCCGATTGGATCGCTAGATTCGTTTTCACAGTCTCTTCGCGAATTTCTCCAAACGTTTTCATGCGTACAGTATTCATCCTCGAAGGGTCCGGGAAATGTATGGCACAGCCGTGCCAAAAACATCCATGAAACTGGTACACCGTTTTTTCCACGGGATCCCACCCGTCTACGGGAAACTGCTTGATACGTTTTTCTCCTCCAGGAGAGCGGCAAGTTTGGATTTTCACCCCTGAGATACGTTCCATATGCGCCATCCATTCCAACGCTTTGTTGCTTTGGTTATGTCGACTGCCGTAGCCGGAAGATGGCATGATCCCGATGCATTTTTCCGCGAGAAAATGCACTTGAAATCCTAGCATGACAGCGCTTGGATTCGTAGGCTGCTCGAAACACTGAATTCCCGGAAATAACTCTTCGAAGCTCTTCTGCGTGATTTTGCAACATTCTCGTAGAACCAAGACGTCGTTGGTGCAGTATAGATCCAGTTCATCTTTGAGATTATATACCTTTAACTGTTTTTCCGCATACCATTCATCAAATTCTTTCTTTTTCTTAGGATCCATAAGGCTGTAGTCAAACAGCTCTTTTTTCCGGAATAGGGCCAACGTATTCTGCATTGACGGGAATATTAAAGCGGTAAGGAAAAAATCCTTTGGCCACTAAATTGGCGATCCCAAGATCGATTGGTAACTGCGCCAACGAGCGGGGCATGAAGGAGAGGCTGTCAATGAAACGTGCGTCCGGACCGGGAACGGTAATCATTGTGACATGTGTTCCATCCTGCATTTTACGGGGCAAATGACCTTCGCGCTCCAATGCACGAAGAATGAACAAATGATCATAGTTTCGGCCATTATGAGATAAAAATACACAAGACTTTGTCTTTTTGAAGACAAATTGCAAAAATTCTTCGGCGCATTTTGGCCCAGAGTATCTGAGGATAAAGTCATCGTCGTGTAACGCCATCACAACCAAATAATTTGGATAATGGTATCGGTCTGCGTCAAAGCCGGATTCGAAATCGAACACGAACTTCTTTTTGATGAAAATTCCCGTATCGCCTTCATCCAAGTCCTCCTGTATGCCATTACCGGTAGAATCAGCTCCATCTTCTTCAATGAATCCATCCAGGCTGCTGTGATCTTCGTCGCCAGCATTATCGTCATCACTGTCAGCAACGGTACTTGTCGGAATGCTTTTTGTGCCACGCTTTTTTCTTTTCTTTCCAGCCTCCAGAGCTTTCGTCCCGGCAAGAATATAGCAAAGATGATCACTTTCGCAAAATTCTCGACAATTATTGCAGAACACAGCGTTACACTCATGTGGGTCCGAGAAGTGCCTACCATCCGGCGGGGCAATGTATTTCCCACAGTCCAAGCATTTAGTCCATGCCTCGCACACGGTTTTCTCTCCATTTGTCCTTCGCGCAATAGTTTTTTCGTGCAAATCAAAGCACTTTTTCGAGAAGAATGTCCGATTGCACTTGTTACAGTGGTGCTTGCCAGCCGGAGGACCACAGAAGTACTGAAAACACGCTGCGCATGGTCTTGTGCATCTGTGATTAGTTTTCTGGTACGCAAAGTCTCCACAAATTTCACAACGAAAGTATTTTCCAACAAGAGCCCAAGGTTTCGACACGCAGTCGAAATGGTTGCGGCTGTACACAAGCGCAACTACGTTTTTCCGATGTGGAGAGTTGTACATGATATTCAAATCCAGGTCGGCGTCAAAAATGATCAATTGGCAGTCATATTCATTATACAGCAGCCAGGAAAACTTGTCCACATCTTCGAACGAGCATGGTCTCTTTGGGTCAACCTTGGCTTCGCGGCATAGCTTCCTTGCTGCGGTAAATTGCGCTGCGTAGCGCGAATCCTTAATTGACTTTTGGTTTCTTTGTTTCAATGCGATGGCCAAACCGATGGCGATTGCTCTTGAGCAGCATAAAGAGTCATTCGGATCTTTATCAAGGTTAGACTGTACCTTGATTACACACTTTTTTTCTCCAAATAATCGGCAATTTTGAACGTAGTGTTGCGCAGCACCCGTCCAGCTCCCTGTACGTCCCGGCATAAGGTGAACGTGTACCGGACACGGTTATCCAGGACGAAAAAAGCTCCTCCAGAGCGATTGATGCGGTCAATTATTGCCAAAATGGTTTCAGGTTTTAGATCCTGAGCAGGCATGACGGGAGTGGAGAACGTGGAGTCTATGTGCTCCGGATGACGGAATACCATACGAACCCTATCGTTCGGGTTTACACAATGTTCCCGAAATAGGGTTCCAATAAGCTGTTCATAAAACTTCCCCAGCGCATATTCTGCTTCGGCAAAACTCATCGTTTCATATGGAATCACATGATGAACCGTAAAGTTGTCTTCCAAAGTCCGGAAGGCGTTGCCACGAACCGTTGTTCGCGTTGCTTCCTCGATCATGAACATCCTACAAAGTGTAAATCTCTTTAGTGAACTGCGATGAATAAGTTAGAGGAGACTGTAAGAAGAGTAGACTGACAAACAGAGACGTGTGCAAAGCCATGCAGATGTTAAAATTCGTTTATGAGCCGTTGCAACTGGCGCGCTTACTAAAACTATGTACCGAGTGTAGAATATAAAGGCGTGGCATATCTTCAGAACGTCCCTGTTCGATTTTCGTTGCCGGTTTTTTCTTTGCATCGTCATAGATTGCATTTAGGAAGTAATAAACAAATATTTAAATAATGTTAACGCATAACATAGCAAGAAATATTTAAACAGTTTTGATGGCACATATTTAAGCGAAAGAGTGAATTGCATCTAATGCGCATTCTCTGTGCGCTTTTTATTATTGCACCATTATAGACCAGAACGAAAATCGTAATTTGTGTATTTGAGCTTCCAAATTAGCGTCGAGATCACACGAACCCGATAAACTCAAACCGCATCAAATATTTGCGATTTAATCATGAAATATCGCTACATTATTAAATCGTATAGAGGTGGGGAACAAACAACCTTTTCTTGCTAAACGGTTAAGTGGACATGGATTCGGAAATCACTATAGTTGTGTTTAACTACTGTGCTCCCCCGACATCCATGCACATTATACCGAAGTTATAAAGCAATTACAAAGCTCCCAGTAATAACAAAAGTTGATAACCCTGAAATCAGCAGTATCTCTATTATTGAGCTAGGAGATGGTAGAGATGGTAGCTTATCAAAAAAAGCGATTTTTCATAAGTATTCCACAGGATATTGATAAATTATTATGATAAACTATTTTTTATATATGAGTTGTCAAATATACAGCGCCATTCGTACATATTTACAGACAAATATATATAGTGCACATTAAATTTTGCAAAGGCTGTTGGCGACATTTATGCGACATAGAAAAACATTTATGCGACTAATATTTCCCGATTGTTTTCTGTGAGATATGTGTGCCATATTCCCGATATATCTACCCCATTTTATTATGCTCGATATTCTGACTGAATTTACTGAGCACATAAAATTTATAGTAGCATGTAAGTCTGACTTCCGGCCGAACACCGCTAACCAATAAATCGTAGTCTATCGAGCAATAGACAGTACTGGGAATAGATCTGATAAACATTTCTGGAGTTGCGGTTAAATTTGTGGCTTCAGTATTTAGTTGTCAAACATACAGCGCGATTCGCACATATTCAGAAACAATATAGCGCAAAATAAAATCCCAAAGAGAAAATACGAGAAAATATTTATGCGACAAATATTTCCCGATAGTTTTCTGCGTGATATATTACCAGCAGTTCCGCAGCTGCGTTTCAATGCAGCATCTATCCTTGGCACTATAGACGGAGAGGATAGCTTAAACGAAGTTTTGCTGTTGTGAAAAATGTAATGTGTTTAGTTTTCTTCCACCTGATTTGTCCATTGGTTATTAATTGCGTGATATGTGTGCGATATTCCCGATATTCTGCCCCGTGTTATTATTATTGCTGGATTTTTTGACTGAATTCACTTAGCATACAAAATTCGTAGTATCATGTAAGTCTGACTTTCGGCCGAATTATGTATGAATTTCGCCCATAACAAACACCGCTAACCAATAAATCGCACTCTATCGAGCAATATGCTGGGAATAAATCCGATAAACATTTCTGGAGTTCACTACCATTAAAGCAAACATGAAATGAAATGTTTCAATGAAATTCATCTAAGCAGATATATTAATCCCAGACTCTGAAAGATTCGCTCCAGAAAATTATTACGAACTGACGTCTCGTTCGTAAAGTAACTTTTTTACTGCTTGCGACATACTGTGGTCAAGTGTACAGCGCGATGAGCGTGAGTTTTCAAGGCTCTGAGTTCGAGTCTCAGTAATTATTTTTTTATTGTTTTCAGTCACTGACCATTAAAAAATTGAATCAAACAGTGCCATATCGAATAACAGATACAACAAACGAGGTATGCAGTCTTAATCGGCTTTTGGTTCGGTTTTATTAAGTTATGGCAGCACAAGCTAGTTACAACGCTAATCAACATAAGCACGAACACACTGATGCAAAATTAAACACACACACGATACACTGACGATTCGGTGATGAACTAATGCGATAAATTACATGGAGCAAATTTTTGATGCAATTATCCGGTGACAATATAGTTCTCACACACACAACACGCTTATGACCGCATTCTCACGTAATTAATAACTCGCCTATATTATCAATAATATTCGTTATTTGATATTTTTTATGATATTCATGACCCGTTTATGACCACATTCTCACGTAATTAAAAACTCGCCTATTTTATCAATAATATTCGTTATTTGATATTTTTTATGATATTTATGATGAGTACATACGCATTCCCATGCAGATATGGTTACTCTTTGATTTATCTCGCTTGTTACCGATGAAATTTTACGCGCGTTGACACATTAACGCTAACTCAGCGCTCAGTGCATTAGTTTTCTTACTTGAGGTTCCGAGTTCGGTTCCCAATGTCAATTTTTTTTTATTCTTGCTTTTATTAATACAGCTGATTTTAAAACACATAATGAGAGAACATAAATAATGCCAGAACGCAAATAAGGAATAAAAAATTATTCGGACGATGGGCGATACTCACGAAAATACAAGGTTTCCCAAAAGTTTTTAATAAAATCTAAATGTTTCTCTTTGGCCCAGCGACGTTTTTGTTTCTTCTTCTCTTTTCTTTTACACCTACAGTAATTCGTTTTATTCAGTTAATAAGAAGCACAACGGAAATAACAAGATAACATAACATAATAACAAGATGCCACATTATTAAAATTATTTGGCATGCACCCGCTGACATGAGATGCATTCATGCAAGAAAACTCAGCAAAATCATCGCAATACTGCATTAATGCGGACCCAGGAATAATATTGACAGGAATAGAAGGAATAATACTAACACTATGTAGACAGTATTGTAAACAAGTGCGCAATTCAGTTAATACGGCAAAAGCTACGAGAAGTAAAACCTACTTAGGATCAGCGGATCCTTCGGCATCGGGAGCAGGTGAAGCGATTCCACCGGCTTCCTCCAAAGCCTTCTCGGCCACGTCCATTGCCATTGGCGGGAAGTCGTCGTCCACAATTCCGGACGTACCGATCCCTCCG